TAACAACTGAAACGAGAACAAGGAAAGAGGAAATGTGCCACCGCTCTGAGAATGGCATGGAGATCAAGGATAATCCGGATTAGGTCCGAAAGTGTGTGATCTTATTTTTTTTTCTCTCAGCATTGGGCAATGGTGATGTCAACTAAGGGGACGGGGGTTAAGAAAAGTGAATGTGTGAAAATGGAGTACATCATAGCTGTTCAATAGATTGTTGTGCTTAGACTGGGATAATGGTACCTGAAAGAGCTGGTACCTGAAATGGCAGGAATGATAGTAAAGTTCTTTAATAAATCCTATGAGGCTGTGTACGGTGTAATATGACAGGGAATTAGCAGAGGCAGCATCTATATTTAGAAGGGCAAAAAACGTAATTCTGACAATTGTAGACCAGTTAGTCTTTATTGTGAGGCTTCAGAGTACATTTGGAAGGAAAATATTTTTAAAGCATGGATCCATCAACAGTGGATTGAAGTACAACTTTCACCCAAGTAAGATCATGCAAGAATTCTTCTTTGGTATGATAACCAGTTATTTAGACAAGTAAACTTGTTAAATATAAGCTGACACACAAGCCTATATGTGGTGCCATATGGAAAATTATTAATTACAGTGGAGAATGTGTATATTGTTATTTTACAAGCAGGCACAAGCTTGATGTGGGAAATGCTGCTTGCTGTTAACTGAGTTCATCTAGCATCTCTTGTTTGGAAGGATGGGCACGTTGAGCTCATGTCTGTCTGCAAAATGTCATGTACCCATGAAGGAGATGAGGGATTAGTCAAAGGCAATAAGGAACTAGTTAGCAGGAAGGCAACAGCAAACAGCTTTGAAAGGAGAAACGTTAAGGTCCAAGGATTTCACTAGTGGAATTTCACTCCAATTTCTCACTAATTGGTGCTGAACCAGTTTTCTTTAGTGCTGCCATTGAGAACCTTTGGCGTGAAGAGCAACAGCGTACCAACGAAATTGCTTGATGACGCAGAGCTGGGAGATGTTATTAATACAAAGTGGAGATATTACTAATACAAAGTAAGTTCAAGCTGTCTTGCAGAAAGATTGGAATGGCCTCGAGTACTGGAAAAATAAAAGCAGTGGGGTGGAATTCAATGGTACCAAGTATAAGGTATCATTATCATTTCAAGATGAATAAGAATTTCCACTGTTAGCTGGGTAATACCAGTGGGCAGGAGAACAGACAGATATCAGAGGGTGACTGTGAGCAAAAGGGATGCAAGAATGTATCAGGTAAGGTGTTTCCATTGGAGTTAGGACGCAATGCTAGCAGAGTGCTGATGAGAGATGGGTTTGGATTGATCAGGAGGATGGAGAGCCTGCTTACTGAGAGGTACAGAAAAGGTTGTGTTTGTTTAGCCTATGTAAGGAAGGAGAAATACATGCTCTCTGTAAATGTATATAGGTGGAAATATATATGCTCTCTATAAATGCATGAGAAAAAAAATCAGTAAAAAGATAAAGCTATGAAGTTTTATTACTCAAGTTCATTGAATGGTGTTTTCCTTCTGTTGGATGTTGAAAAGCATTATAAAAGCCATCTCTCACCCACAGAATACCTGACAGCACAGGATGCTGTGTGTTCTTACCTCTTTTGATTTAGACTAGAGTTGAGGGTACTCATGTTTGCCCTAGAGGAATTAGGAAAAGATAAAAATTAGTTTTACCCTCTGTTTTTCTTTGCTTAAGTGTTGTATTTTTCCAGCCTTTGGGTTAAGAAAACACATAGCATTGTTAATTTAAATGTGTTGAAACAAAAGCAACAGCAAAAGGATCAGTAATAAGATTTTGTTAGTCAAGATCTGACTATTTTAAGTTTGATATGTAGCAATTAGCTGTTAGATTTAATTGGAAAATTTAAATTTTCAACAAGTAACTGTTTGCTAAAATGCAAAATGGGAGAAGTGTAGAAATAAGAATTCTCTTTTGCAGGAAAGTGGGGTGGGGGACAGAGAAGGGTGAAGGATCTATCCATGTTAAACCAAATATGAAAGTGTAGGAAGTTGTGGGCAAAAGAAAATTGTGAGAAAGAGACCATATCCCAGTGATCAGAATACCCTGTCAGGGTTAAACAGGAACTTCATTGAGGGTGACCCCTATACCAAAGTGGTGACCAACCTCACCTCTAAATTGACCTTTTTAGGGAAAACCTCCACCAGAGGAACCTGAGTGTAATTCTTTTTCTTCTTGTTGCTCCTTCTTTACCCTATCTTCCAAAAAAATTTAATCAAAACTGATCCATTTTTGTGAAGAGTTCTGATTTCCACAGCTTGACATTTTCCAAAGGAATAATATTTTGTTAAAAAGTTCCCGAGCAGCTATTGTTATTACTAGAGGTGAGCTCATGTAGGATTTTTGCCATGTGCGCTATGGATGGATTTCAATATACATTATAGGAGTCTTCCAAATATTTTATAGTGGTGCAGGCACCATTATTTTAGTTAGCAATTTAACTTTGTGATGGGCACTGTTTTGCTTTCCTTCTTCTAATGAAGGAAGGCTTCTCTCTTTTGGGAGGATATTTGAGTCATTTATTTGTGTTTACCACTCTTCAGGCCTGTGAATGATGGGTCGTTTTGTCGCATGGCTGCACGCTGTGCACAAAAACTCCTGTGCTTGAATTTTTGTTGGTCTCATGCAGCTCCCTAGTATCAACCCCACTACATGCTACCGAGGAGGTTGGCAAATGTCTGCTTCTCTTCCCTTCAGTTTTTGTAGCTTTTTTTTTTTAAATCCAAAGCACCTGATTCTGGTGCAAACCCAGATGCAAACCCAGTCAAATCAGTGCAGTTTTCTCTGCTGAAAAACTGACATAAATAAGAGTCTTCAGACTCTAGTGGCTTCTGACTTTTGTCCTGAAAAGCAAGTGGAACATAAGGTGTATTTTTTATGATAGTTCTCCAAAGAGACTAGCCGTTAATCTCTCTGAGAGTAGGTGTGTCAGCTGCAAACATTTCCTTCCAGTCTACCATTTCACTCACACTTCACAGTACACTGAAAATTGGCAAGGATGTTAATTATTGGCCTCTAGAACAAACCACCTACTTTGATTCAAGCTTGTTTTCAAATTTTTAAGAATGTTGTTTCACCTACAGAACAGTATAATTACAGAAAATAGCTTGGTTTGGCTAACATCCTTGTGTTCTGTGAGTTCTGCTTGCAAGGCAGCAAGCAGCACTGGGCAGGAGGCTCACCTGCAGAGGATTTTAACCTCTTGCTGACAGGAGTTAGGGCTTGCCAGCATCCAGTACATTGTTTTCAGTATCAGAAGCTCTAAACCACTGTCACTCAGAGGTTAAACATTAACGCTTTCTGCTTTTAAAGCTGAAGGAACCCTCCATATAGTAAGAAAGTTTGTTTTTATTCTCCAGGGAACTTCCTGTTAAAATTTTATGAATGTCTGTTACAGGAGCAGTTACAGCAGTGGGTCCTGTAGGTACAAAACCCTGGGTGCAACGTGACGCACTGAGCAGCACGGTGCAGAGACTGGTTATGTAGCTGCATTTGTGCAATGCGGTGTTTAATAAAATTTGCCAGGAGTCAGCCATGTATCCAGGACATGATTAATCAACCAGCAGAATAAATTGCCCATAGATGACTGGGAGTTGACAGTAAACAGTAAAACACCTGCCTTGAAGACTTACAGTCTTAACAGACAAACAGGAAACAGAAGCAAGTGGGAGCCTTGTTTTAGGAGAGATTTTGAGGCATACAGAGAGTTGTTCCTGATAATACAGCGAGTCTGGCAGAGCTAGAAGCTGAACTCTCTGCATTTCCCTTCATGTGTTCGTAGCTCATGTAATAGGTCTTTAAGTTACCAAGAAACTTTTCCACAACACTGTCCTGAAGAGTTGGCAGAATCCGCAGTCAGCGTTTCTCACACATGTGCCTCTTGGTTTGGGGCTCTGCAATTTGTACAATTAATAACTTACACCGTGAATTAAAAACATTGGAAAGCAGCCCAATGCTCAGGCTCGTGTGTCAAAGAATTGCTGTGCAGGCCCAGTCTTATTTGTTGTTACAATAATTAATCATCCGCTGATTTTAAGACAATTTATATGGTACCTGGGCCCTCAGGGGAGTCCTACAGTGCTATTGAAACTGGACATTTTAAAATTAATGGTATTAAGCTATAGAGCCGCATTAAATATACATGAGTACTTGTTCCTCATACCTCCTCTTTAACCGTAAGGCCATGTTGGGGCTGGCTACTTTCCTGACCTTACAAGCCACATGCTGCAATTTCCATAATGGCCGTGAGTCACAAGCCCTTCGCAGCGCGGTGTGAATAAACAACGGGGGGGGGAACATCCGGGAGGGTTCACAGGTGGGAGATGACAGCGGTTTCTCAGGGATTCCCTCGCTCCACTATAAACCGGGTCCTGCGTGAGAATGCACCCAGATCCCAGAGCGAGCTGGCGGTGCCGGTCTCAGCAGCCCCCGCTGGCTCATCGCCTGCCGCCGCTCAGGGTGCGGGTTATCTGGCAGCTCTCCGGCCGGTAACATCAGCCAGGGGCTTTAGCCAGTGGCTCCCAGCACAGCAGCCGAACTTCACAGCCGGAGAGCCATGTGCAGACCAAGAGTCGCACATCGGTAGTTTGTGGCCGAGTGCCTTGCTTCACTCTCTGTATGTTGGTCAATAGTTTTGCACTATAGGAATATTATATCAATATGAAATATGTTTGCTGAGAAACACTTGGCTGAACTGAAGAAGTCTAACCTTAGCCATTCAAAGAGTTTACCATATATGTGAGGCAAGCCGTTCAAAACATGATCCTGCTGGGAAAAAAACCTGGAAAAAATTGCAATGCTAGAACAAGAAAGGATTTTTTCATAAGAATTGAATAGGCGGTATTACAAAACAGTATAACTTTATACATGTAATTATAATAAAGCATGACTGAAATGAATGCACAGAGGATTGTTATGTTTTCAAAGCAATGTGGATATTCTGATAAATTGTTTATCATTTGTTTATTGTTTTGCAGGCAGACTTGATAGCCTTGCAACAAGAAAAAGAGGCCGCTCTTCAACAGTGCAAAAAATTAGAACAAGAAATCGAGACATTGCGTGTTTATTACAGGTAAAATAATTAATACTAATATAAATCAGTGACTCATAGGGGAAATTTTCTGTACTGTGTATGACTGTGAGTGAGGAAATGGCCTTATCAAACAGGTATTTGTTGGAAATGTGAATACATCAATGAATCAAGGCCTGCATTTCTGCTTTACTGCTCACCAACCATCTCTTTGAAATAGAAGTCCTTTTCTTATAGCCTAGATTTTCTATTAGTTTCTTCTAAGAGAAGGGGAAGGTTGCTGGCGGTTGATTCTCATATAAATGAAAAAGCTGTGTTACAGCAATGCGTTCACTTAAAAACACGAGGACAAAAGAACCAGTTGACATAAGTGCTTGTTTCTTCCCTGGTTGTTTGCACATACCTAACTTAATCAACATAGATTTTAAAATAATAAAATCTGTAATTCTAAAAGACTGTTTTCTGTTCAGCCCCAACATAACATGTATGTTTTAATTCCTTACGTTCTGTAGCAGTATGTAGAATGAGAGAAATAGCCATTCTCTCATTAATTTAGACGGGCTGCATTGAACGTTTGCATGGATCAGTAGGTTTTAGTCCCTAAGGAAAAGCTCTGTGTGGTCCAGTGAAGGAGTTAGGTTGTTTTATGGAGTGATGTTGGGTTACAGCTCTCATTTCATCCTGACCTCCTGTGTGAGAGGGGATACAGAGCTGCCAGCAGGTTAAAGGCAGGAGAATTGGCATCAACACAGCAGAAAATTGTGAATCTGAAGGCTGAATGTCTGTGATGAGGGATGTGGGCTGCAGAGGTAAATAATAAATGTAGTGTGAATATTATGTTCATTGGAAATAAAGAGGACTAGTTAGTTATGACTAAAAAGCATTTGCAGTAGCAGAACTGTGTATGTTTACAGTGTTTCAGCATTTACAAGTGAAAAATACTCGGGTTTCTAGAGGTTTTTAGCGTTTCCCCTTCTCATTAAGTTTATTAAAACCTTGGAGGGAAGTTTCAAAAACAACTTTTGTTCCTAAATCTCATAGGCATTTATTTAAAGCCTGTTAATAGTGAATAGAAACCCCAAGCAATTTGTGATTATTGCTTTTAATGAATTTGGTCAGCATTTAGTGTGTGAACAAATTATGGTATGATTTACCAAGCTAGAAAGAATTTATTATAGTGCCCTTATTACTCACTTAAATGGGATTTGTAGAATAATTTTAAAATAGAAATGCAGTTTTTGTATTGATATTTCAGAAATTAAGAGTTTGCTTGTGTTGGTCTCTGCACATTGCAGGAGATTTTTCACTGACTTATGAGTTATGTTTTTGAGATAGTGTGTCAAGTTTGCATTAAAATATAGTATTTAACAAGGGTAGTAGACAGCAGCCTCAGTTTACTGATGTAAATGTTTTAAATCTCAGAAATGTTAACAATAATGACTTGCAGAAATCACCATTAGAATGTACCATGTTACTAACTTATGGCCCTTAATTTGAACAGGCAGAATTTCATTGTAAGTTTGATGATCGTATTTTGCAAGGTTTAGTCACAAGGTCTGGAAATACTCATCTAAATATCCCTGGGGCAAGAACTATTGTATCACTACTAAGTTACACAAGTTACATAGTAGTTCAGAACATCAAAAATGAAAGATTTTATCTCCTACCCCATTGTTCTTAGAGGACAGGGGTTTTGTAATGCGTTCTGAAGCGGACACAGAGGCACGGTTCACTGAGGTTGGCAGGGACCTCTGGAGGTCGTCTTGTCCAACCCCCCTGCTCAAGCAGGGCCACCTAGAGCAGTTGCCCAGGACCATGTCCAGATGGGTTTTGATTATCTCCATGGATGGAGACTCCACCATGGAGATAATCCACCACTCCAACCTCTCTGTATAGAGACACTGTCCAAGCATACAGAGGCACGGCTAGGAAAGCCAAAGGCCACACGGAATTGTCGCCTTTTACATCCCTCACCAGGTTCAAGAAGGGCTCCTAATAGTGCATAAGTAGCAATGTTTGAGGTCTCATGCCTATCTTTCGCCTTGGTTAGAAATTAATTGCACCATTATGAGGATTCTTATGAACATCTTAACATTTTGGTTACAGTTTCCCATATATTGCATGAACATCTGCAGCCTCTGTCACGCTATAGTGTGGCAGTACTTTGAACACATACCAGATGAGGTGGATGAAGAAAAGAATATATGGCATGTGTGCATAAAGCTTCGGGGACTGTATCAGGCCAAGGGTGGGCTGGCCACAACAATCATGAATGAAGAAGTAGAGAGTGCATTTGCTAGACCATCCCAAATGAGTGAAAATTTACTCTCTGTTTTGTATGTGGAGGCTAGTTAAGGAATACTTGTGCAAATGTCTACTGGGACTTTTTCTTTCCTTGCCATGCTGTGGTAATCTAGAGTAAGCACTGAGAGTGTTTTTCAGACAGCCTGTTTTGGACTGAGGTGGAAGTTTGGTGCTTTGATTCAAGTGAGTTAGCTAGACAGTTTGCTGTTCAAGACTACATTTCCCTGGAATTATTTCTCTTTTGGACTTCAGAGCTCCCTACTGAGCAAAATACGGGCTTCCACAAATGCTCCACTCCTCATCTGAACTGTAGAGCTGCAATAAGACACATTGTTATGCAGGGTGCACATTTCCTTCACCTACTGTTCTTTCATCCCTTTGCCAGCTTCTCCCACCTTCTGTCATCTCTGCGGTGCCAGTGTGACAGTGGCTTGGGAATTTTGGCTCCATTTGGTGCGTTCTCTTCCTTCTGCTCTTTGGTCTTCCTTGGCCTTAGAAAAAGCATTTTCTCATACTTTTCTTCTTTGTTCCATTGTTTTAACTGAGATTTCTACATCATCCTTTAACTTAGAAGAAACAAATTTAAGAAAAAAACCAAATACTAGAGACGTTAAAGTGTACATATCTAAAGCCATGCCTTAAAGTACAACCACATTTTAGGGGTTTGGTCATAAAAGTAATGACTGTGTGCATATATTAACGATTTTTGAATGCATACACGTGTAAACAGTAACATTAAAATGTGTATTTTTATACTGATCTGTCTTTCACTAACATAAGCCAGAAAAAGCCAAATATCATTTTATTATACAAAATCAGGGAAGAGATATTTAGGTCCAGAATATCTGTATGTGTGAACATGCAACTGTATGTATACACAAGCATGCTCAAAGGAGTGAAACCTTCAGGAGACCTTCAGGAAAAAAAACAATCCCCTTTTTTTTCTCCAGGAGAAAGACTCCTGGTATCTAGAATACTGCATCCAGTTTTGGGTCCCCAGTAAAAGTAAGACATCTATAAATTGGAGCGAGTTTGACAGAGGGCCACCAGTATGGTCAGGAAGCTGTAGCATTTGCACTGTAAAGAGAGAATGAGGGTACTGCTCTTGTTCAGCCTGGAAAAAAAAATATTTCTTTGGTGGCTTCAGGGAGACCTAACAGCAGCCTGACAGTGTCTATGAGGAGGTTATCAAGAAGGACAGGCTTTTCACAGTGCTGCACGACAAGAGGGTGAGAGACAACAGACTTGAATTGAAACAAGAGTTTCAGACTGGTTATAAGGGAAAACTTTTTCACCAGGAGGGCTGTTCATCATTGGAACAGGTTGCCCAGAGGGGTTTTGCCATCTCCGTCTTTGGAGATTTCCAATGCCTGACTTTATCAAGTCATGAGTAACCTGGTCTGATCTCATAGTTGATATCACCCTGAGAGGGAGGTTGGTTGAACTAGAGACCTCCAGCGGTCACTTCCAACCTGCATTATTCTACAATTCTGTGATCTGGTAGCTGCTGCTGTTTGAAGCCATTCGATTTTTTCCTCCAACTGTGAAAGAAGTCTGTGTTGTAAACCATACTTGTTTGCAGATGAAGTGGAAAGTGAATGCTAGCTGAAACTGGAGTTTCGTGAAAGGCCTGAAAGACCCAAACCAAAATTAAAATGAGCTTTGGGGGAATAAATGATGGAACATTGATTTCTATCTGAATTTTGACTTTCTGAAAAGAAAGCACATCCCAGAACAATTTCAGCCTTCTTTAAAAGGAAAGAGAAGTGAAAAGGAGGAAAAAGAAAAGGAGGAAGAATCTATTTCAGATACAGAAGGGAGAGGAAGTTGGCTCCGAATAAATTTGGGCAGGTTCTCTGCTTCTGTTTGTTCTTCTTGTGTTGTTTCTGTGTCATGTCTCAAAAGCAAAATTGCATTTTCTGGATAGTAACCCAAAAATACATAGCAGAAATGAAAATTTGCATAACAGTTAGGAACAGTATAGAGTTTCTAGCTTACTAATATAATTGTCTCAACACAGTACTCTTTAAGCTAGGGATTAATGCAAATCATAGATCCTCAGTGACCAAAGAAGGCTATATTCAAATAATCAGTTTTGAAGTATGTGGGAGTGTTAATCCCACTACCTCTTTCTCACATAGGTCTGTTGTTTGAACATCATCACGTTTTTTATTTGCATATTTTTCACTTACGCAGTCTGTCCGTTTTTATAACCAGTTTCCTTCTATTTCAATAATGCTTCAGAAGTGTACTCCTACATGTTAAAATGCTGACAAAGACATGCTATTGCATACTCATTGTTTTTCACATATTAGCTAAACCAGTACAACTATATATGAGAAATATATCTCTATATAGGGAAGTACATATATTTTTCCTTTTTTTTGTTTTTAAAAAAAGTCTAAAATATTTCACTGGAAAGCTCTGGCACTAGGAGTTTTCACAGGCAAATAGTTTGAACAAATTCTAACTAGTACAGCAAAAGGTACTCTAACATGTCAACCCCATCGCAAAGGAAGATAAGAGAGCAAAATAAAAATACAGGGCTGTCCTTACTTAAAAGTATGTTTTTGATAGGTTTTGTGTTGGGGTCAGATGCAGTGACGCTCAATTCAATAAAATTATTGTTTACTCTCCAGCTGAGTAAGATATGTACATCTGCGTTAGTTCACACACCTATGAATGAAGCTGCTGAGGATAAGAATTGGTATGTCCAGGCTCTAAGATAAAATTTAAGG